AAGAAGTTGGATGCGCCACTGGAGCGGTTATCTCTCTCCGCCCATGCGATCAGACCGGAACTGAAGGAACCAATAAAAACGTAAAAAAACGAAATCAAGCAGGACCTGTGCCTTTTCGGCCGTTCCGAATCATCCTTTCGTAGCAGTAGTTCTTGATTAGGTACAACACGCACGTCGGCATAGCTGGAAGACACTGTGTCTGCTCCACAATCATTGATTGATATTGATCAACACTCACCGTACGTACTGCTCTTTGAACGCTTTATAGATTTTGTCATTAAATCGATACAGTTCACCTTCTATTGAATCTTTCCATATCTGTTTATTGCCTCTCCCTGGAAATAAACGAGAGGATAGGCAAGGAATTCAAGTTGCGAATGAAACTGGGCGCTAGTAGTCTTGGGGTGGGCCACACCTGTAAGCTCTCGTTAGCATACTAAATCCTGTAAAATGTACGCGGGAATGCCAGACAGACTTGTCAGCACCCTGCAAGCTTTGCAATCACCTATTAAGCACACAGTAAACTCTTCTCGAACTTCTCAAAATGACGTTCCAAGACTTGGGAAAAAATCAAGAATCAAGTTCCAATGACCACAGTGCCATTTTGCAAGGCTTGGCAAGAGTTCATGGGATACTTTACGGGAGAACAGGGTACTGTATAGAAATTCATAGGAGGTGCAGGGTGAAACGCGACAGCGAAAAGACAACAGAAAAAAACAAGCACACACTGAAAAGCATACAGGTGTGCCCCCCCCCAAAGGTTATTAGCACCTGAAACGGTTTCACAAGAAGGAAGCACGCCTCATTTGGAAGCCTCATTTGTATCAATAATTTATAAGTATGCAAATAAATGAATTGATTTATGATAGCGTATGAAGTAAAGTGAAGTATTGAGTATGAAAATAAATTGATTTATGATAAGCGGTGCACCTCCTATTTTCAGCGGATATGTAAGAATTTTTCGAAAACTCACCGTCTCTAATCATAGCTATCAAATTTGACCGCATGTCGCCAATCAACGCCTTACCAACAGATTTCAGCTGAAAATAGCTCGTTGATGATTATGTCATTGACATGGGGGTAATGTCACAGCTATGAGTCACTCCAGATGACGAATTCCAGATTTTCAATATCAGATATTTGGAAAAGCTGCTGAAAACTATGACAACAATCCCAAGCACAATGTACTTCAATGAAGAACTTTTTTGGCACTTGAGAGACAATATCCGGGTGACAGACTGGCTGGGCCAAAGTAAAGAACTCAGCCTCATGCAGCTCCTACGGGGAACCTCGAGGCGCCTAGCCACCGCGAAGACGTTCATAACCAAAGCGAATTCCATCCACTCCACTTTGCAAAGAATGAAAATCACCCTTGGACATCCTTGTGCGCCTTACGGAGTCGACCTCGAGAAAATTTAAGGCCTTTGCAAATGAAATCCTCGCAATCTGATGGGACGGTGTCAGAAGGCGTGAACAAATCAGCCCGTGACGCTTTCGTCATTCGTTGGTTTTTATCGAAACGTGGCTCTATTGGTAGTAAACGCAGCCGTGGGCGGGATCATCCACGCCTCCCGACATCGCCTCTTCAGGAAACGACGAAACTCAGCTGTACTGAGATGAATGGCTGTCTTGAGCAAATGTACGCATCTTGCCAATCACCGCTACCGAAGATACGGCTGCATATGTGTACCCATATATGCATGCAGCATCACCGCCGCTTCATACCAATCCCTTTGCTTCATAATTTGCTCAGCAAATGAATGAATACGAGCGTCAGAAACGGTCGTCCGTTTGTGGGCGGGCGGGCAAGGAAGGCGTTTGGGACGTAAAGTTGTTGCTCAATAGGGCGTTATAGAGGTACCCTCCTTGGAAAAAGGCTTCACGCAGCGCCTGTCCGAGGTCACGGAATTCTGTTAAGCCAGTTGTACAAATCCTACCTGTATAGCGATTTATCGTGCCAACTGCCTTTAAGGATTTCCTCCACTTTCCAGTGCTCCACAGCCACCCATACGCCTTTCCTGCTGCGTGTCTGCACCCCTTACTGTTCTCTAGCGCTCACTGCGTGTTTCCGTACAGGGACCTTGGTGTGGATGCATGTGCAAATTTTGAAGATAGCGCTGGAGACAGCACTCCGCTATCCTACAACCCGTTCGCATACACTTTCGAGTCGAGAAAGTTGTGCAGCAAAACTGCAGTTGCGGATCTATTCGCCAGAAATGGCAGATTCCTCTTCGGAAGTTAGTGCACAGTCTTAAAGCTAGGCTAGATAAACCGCCGTGGTATTACATTGACTCCGCTTTGTCACGAAATTAGCCCTAGCGCCCTTTCAAATTTCTCATTGTTTGTCGTTGTGCATCCTTTCCGGCGCATTTTGACGACGGAGGGCATTTTGTACTATCACTGCTTCCTAGTTCCGGTTTACAAGTCTCACTCTGGCGAAACCTGTGAACTCTTGTGAAGCTGGAGCAAGCTCATCTAGCCATCATGGGGAGGCGGCCGTTTGGCGCGATCACATTGCCGTTGACGCGTCATGACAGGTCTACCAAATTGGATATCCCTTCCAGATCATTGAATTATAGGGTTTAGTTCTTGACAGCCTTCATGAAAACTGAAGCCGTGCGTGTTGGCTTCAGTGTTCATGCTTCTGAACCAGGTGGTCTCCTAACGATCACATACTGATAGGAAAAATTCACTGTTCTGAAGCTTCGGACGAGTTGCCCTTTCTGAAAGACGGTTGGTCTGACGTGTTTTGACACGTCGGTGGCAAAAAGATCGCGCCAAACGACGTACATCCAGCCATTGCAGTAGAACCGGCACCCGGGCGATTCTATCGTCGGCAAGTCAGGCGACGCCGCACACGCCGCGCCGCGTCGCTGCGCGGCACGCCGCGACGCGGCAATCCCGGAGTTGCATTACCGTACTCCCGAGTTGTCATTGGAGCAACGGCCACAGCAAGCTGTGCCTCTTTCAAATTGTTAAAGGGATCGTCGACCCTTAACAATTTGAACGCCACGCAACAAA